GAATGCTGCCCAGAACACTTTAGTTACTATAAATTCTTTTCAAATGTAATTTGGTTATTCAAAATCAATATAAAGACTTTATATATGCCTTATCTAAATTAATATGCTTTTTTCAGAACAATAGTTCCATCAGAGATGGCTCACCAGAAAACACAGGGATAGGGGAAGGAGAGAAGGCAGTCTCCATTTCACTGCTGCTGTCGTCAGGGTTAGGTCGAAGGAGAGCACTGTTACACGCCATTCGAGCATGCCCATTGCGTGAGTCCACATGGTGATTGGAATGCACAGAGTCGTTGTTGTTTTGACTGCGATGAGTATGACTTGGTTTCTTCTTCCTTAAAAACTGTACAAAGCCATGCTTCCACGGTGAACATTTGATAAACTTTTTGCTCTCTGTGTTGTGTTTACCATTTTTGTCAGAACAGTTCTGCAATAAAGAAAAATTTAAAATGTGAGAAGAAATCTAGCTACTTTCCAAACTTTATTCTTTTTTTTTACATTAATAAAGAGAAAAAAATGAATATTTATCCATGAAAAATGAATTTCAAAAACAAATTGATAAAAAAATTTAATGTTTCAGTCTAAGTACGTGTATTTTGTCCTTTTCAATATACTTGTTTATCTTTATATCAAAGAACCTGTGTTCTTATTATATTCTCTTCTTAACTTTACAAAATAATTTTTTTTTCATTTACATGTCTGCATGTATTGTTTTTTTCAGATTAATGTGATGTGCAATACCCGTTTAAAACTTCATACTAGTAGTTTAATATGTTTTCAGTATCATTAGATGTTTTCGAAATTATTCTAAGATATTAAAAAGTTATATGTGAGAGTTTATTAACTAAATGTACATGTACTAAAAATTAAATATTTTGTTACTTTTAACTTTGTACATGCATTCAAACTGTTTGAGAGAGAGAGAGAGAGAGAGAGAGAGAGAGAGTTTGAGTTTGTGATTTGATAATATTTGAAAAAAAGCAGCACATGCCTTTCAGTGATATTTACATTTACTTACAAGTCATGAAATTTTGTACAAGACAGTATCAAATGCTTATAATTTCATTTCATTTAAAATGTCAGTCAGAAAATATTAGAACTATAAATCTTTGATCTATACCAAAGTGCCTCTGTATGGCACGCCGATTGGTTCAAAATTATTTTCTGCACAACGATCACGATTTTATACACGAGCTAGAAGAAAAATATACACGAGTAAAATAAAAATGCACGTATCGGTAAAAATTGCACATAGTTTAAAAGATTTTTACACAAACATAACGAAAAATACACGAATCCGAAATTTCTTACACGATTAAAGGGTTTAATATGCACAAACAAAAATCGAAAATTGCACGAGCAGAGGAAACTAAAAATTACACAAACAATTTTACTGCGCATACAGCTGCGCATATCATTACTATGCACATAGAATATTCATAGTGTTCTTGGTTTTCTGTACTCTTTATCTCTTCATGTATGCTAAGCTAAATGTTATCGAGAATGGAAGTTGCTTTTTTACAATCCGATTTCGAATGAAGTGTTTCAGTCTGATCTATGCGAGAGTATTTAAAAGCTTTTTGAAAATACTATGTTTTTCTTACATTGACCGAGATCAAGGATGTATTATATGATGCCGGACAAAAATTGTAACAAGAATGAATCGGTACGTTTGTGCTACGATGCGGGGTAATAAAAAAAAGTACCCTTGCGTATGATGCACTCGACTCCGAACTAAAAGTACCTAACGATGAACGTACAGTACGGCTGACAAGGATCTTGATTTTAAGGGTACTTACCACAAACAAAAAATGGATGTGCGGGGTGATATATATTTTTTGACTGATTTTGATATGAAATGACATAAATAATAAATCCCTGAAATATAAAGAAATCGTAGGTTTTCTTGGTGCTTAGATATGAGACTTTGTTTTGCCTTCTATATAATTCCATACAAAATTTTGCACAATTTTTTAACCTTATGACAAAATCTTATATAATTCTCCCAATCTACTTGGTAAACATTATTCAGGTTGTCAATTTAAATGTAAATCTATGAGAAATAATGCTGATTTCTTAAAAAAGTTTGTTTGTGTTATTTATCCTTAAAAAATCATTTGAGGAGATTTTTTCCCCATTTCGGAATAGGAAATTAAATAGTCAGTTGGCTGGATATATACAAATGTGTACATTTTTAAATTTAAAAAGTGAGGATTACCTTAGATGTACACAACGTATTTTTAATGTCAAACATAAAAATATTTTATTTCTATTTACATATGTATCTAAACTTATAAAATATCCGATATCAATTTTGGTTGGATATCTGTAGCCTACTTTTTGTAATGAATTTTTTATGATATTTCATATTTTCAGTTATAAACTTCGAAATAAAAACAAGATATTTCTTGTAAGCGTTACCCTCATTCGTAATGGCAATTACTTGATAAATGTTTTCATTTTTGATAAAAAGGACCAGATGAACGGAGAATATACTTATATACTCTATGTACATGCCCTTTTGTGTTTTGTTAATTAAATTTGTCCAATGAAATAACAAAACTCTACTCAAATAATCCTGGCTATGGAAAAACACATGATCAGTGGCGGACCTGGCTCGTGGATCGATTGGAGTCCCAATATAAATTTATTTAAGTTTCAAATCGTTGGACGATAATGACACACCAAGACTTTTAAAACATTTTGAATTACTAAACACATCTACATACAATGTCATAAATAAAATGGGAATGGATACTGCAGTTTGATAATAAATGGAAAGAATATAGAACTTGTTTTATCATTCTTGAAAAATGCAAATAAATCATGTTCCAAATAGAGCACAATTTTTGCAAAATATTTTCAAAGACAACAAATTCTCTTTACATTTAGAATTCGTATTCATAGAATTTTAATAATTTATTATTTCCCAAACACTAAATTTAAGTTTTTTGTAATAACAATTTTCAATCCAAATCTATGGCCATTATAGCAAGAACATGACTGTATAATCATAAAATAAAATTAATCGGCAAACGGGCCGGTAGAAGTCCCCCCACCTCCTCCCTACTTTTTTCTGAGTATTATAGACTTTGCAACAGTAAATTTTCCTTATATGCTGGTTGACCCCCTAACCTTCAATTTTTAAATGTTGTTAGGTCGAGCGCAAATTCCAGGATATGCACGGTTAATTACAATATTTATCGTTATAGTTTTAGGTTGAATTGCAATCCTGATTTCGATCGACTACTTCATGTACGCTTAAATTCATAGTAAAATATTTCAGCCAGTAGCATCAGGAGGGGCATGTCCCTCCCCCTTTTCGTTTTCTTTTCTTTGGCAAACATAACCTTTTTCTATAGTAAATATCCACTGAAAAGCCTCATCCCCTTTTTTGTTTGGTAGTTTAAATCTAAGTAATATATGCTAATGTGTTTCGAAAAGAAGGTGGAATATTGAAGGTGCCTCACTACCTCAACGAAATAGGATTTTCGAGTTTGGACACTTCCAAACCCCCCCCCCCACTCCCCCCCCCCCCCCGCCTTTTTTTCGCTTGTCATGCAATTAGGCTAATTTTCAGGTAATTTGTCAAAAAAAAAAATTCTAACCCCCTCCCCACTATCAAAAGCGATGCTTTAACGATATTATATGTGTCTGTATATTATAATTTTAAATTGTTTTAACTCCTTTATATGCATTTTACCTATTCAAAGCAAACTCGATAAAAAAACATATTATTGAGCTTAAATTCACATAACTAAAACGACTACAATTTACATACAATTTTCTACATTTACATGGATATTTATGAAATCACTACACATTGTTCAAAATTAAAGACTGCATGTTCTACTTTGTCAAATACTTAGTTATATAGAAAAAAAAATTAATAATTATATTCGATCGTTTCAATATAAAACTTAAAGTTGCGCAATTATTTGCCTTATTATTTTTTTTTACTGTTTATTTCCAAACAGTTTTCTGTCAAATTCCACAACCCAGATGATCGCAACAATGCTTAAAAATCTCTGTATGAATTGCTAGTAATCCTTAATCAAAAGGGATTATTGATGTGTCAGATAACTATAAATCGATTAGCGCACAGGTGTCTTTCATTCCTTCACCAGCAGGGAGGGTTCTCTCTATATGAAAAGGTCATGCATCCACATCCTTAATTATTACAGACGTACACACAGTGGGTGGTGGAGGAGAGTAGTTTGATTTGTTGTTAACTGTCTTGTATTACATCACATGCTGTTTTTATTAATATTTATGAAGACCTTTACTATATCAATATTTTACACTTTCAAAAGAAATTACTATATAGACAATGATAGAGGAATGACACCATTTAAAAATCTAACAATTAAACACACAACTGGTAATATGCATCCCTTTTACGTTATTTATACATGTGTACAATGTTTTTAATCGGGGGTGTTCATATTCCATACCTAAGATTGTATAAAACACATTGTACATATATTCTTGAGAGTCTAGCGGAATTCCAAAAGACTGAATCCTTTTTAAAAAGATAAAATAAATATTACTAACACGTTACTAATCCTTTAGGATAAATTTATAGGTATATGTTTCAAGCATCCAAGCCACCCTGAGCTGTTCTCTAATGAATATTAATGAAATGTGCGCAATGAGGATGCGTCGTATATTATGTCGATGTTGTATTCTCACTCGTGCAGTTTTCGTTTTTACGTTTGTGTAATTTTCTCACTATATCGTGTATATATTTTGTTGATTGTGTAGTTTTTCTGTAGTTTGTGTAAATTTCAATAACTTTGTGTGTACTTTCCTCACTTTGTATAAGTTTTTACTTACTCGTGTAATTTTTGTTTATGGTCGTGCAGAAAATAATTTTGAACCAATCGGCGTGCCATACCTCTGTATAAAAATTCCTCCATTTAAAGTATGAAGTATTAGCTAAAATCCATTTTTAAACAATAAAAAAAAAGTATTTTTAAAAAAGTTTAAGGGCAAAAAGCAAATTCAAACAATAGTTTTTAGAAGGAAGGCTGGAAAATACTAAAGCTAAGCAATAATCTTGTTAAACCAGTAATGGGGAAATTAGGGAAAAATAATAATCTAGTACATGAAATAAACCTTGAGGTTATAACAAATGAAATTTGAAAGGAAGACATTGTTCTTTTTAAGACCCAGCTGTATATATGTAAGTGGGTGTTTGTCACTAAATACATTTGTAATATAGCATTTCTTAGTATGTTAAATGGTACATGATGTAAGGAGAGTGGCTAACAGTTTTTAACCATTTATTATTGATAAGTAAAAAAAACCCATATGTTTGAGCCATAACATTTAGTGCAATTTCTGTTTTAAATTTGTAGATGGATCAAAACATGACAGTCTTTTATATATAACCCCCCCCCATTATCTAGACTTCAAATATATTGCTTCTCCCATTTCCAACTAGTCATAACCATGTGACCTTGGTAAGACACTGAAAAAAGGTAATAACCCCTTCCCCCATATAATCATATAATGAGCAACAACATACAAATTGTACATGTATAATAATATATAATTTATGTGATTTCCATGCAGCAGGAGCAAAATTGTATTGTAGGCATAAATTGATCAGCATATCATTCCCTGTGAACTTGAAAATACAAACTTGTCAACGTTGCACAGGCCAGCATTTATGTTGCAGAAGAAATGCCTTCGACCTATGAGCCTTGTATGGTTTTGCGAGATATACTGACAGCTTTAGGGGATATACAATCTTATTGTGTAGAACAAGAAGAAAAAGAAGTTTTTTCATTGCATTTCTAAAGAATTTGGATCATCAATACCTCATTTGCATTGTTGACCTAAATTGTAAACTATATTTCTTTTCACCTTTAACATTGGTTTACTGAGCGTGTATACTTTAAGATGAAGGTCAATTTTTTTGCAATGAAGTAAAAAAAAAAACTAAAAATGCCAAACAAAAACTTGAAATAAATGGAAAAGCATTGAGATTTTTTAAAACTCATTAAAATGCTAACCATTTCCATGTAAATTATGACTACTGGAAATAGCCTGTGCATGATATACTTAGCATATATCATGATAAGATACATTTGATACAGAGGAGAAAACATCTAGATATATGTTACAATAAAGGCATGACACTAAAGAGAGTGGATTTACCTTATGGAACTGTTAATTATAGGCCATTTGCTGCTTGAATGGATTCGTGAAAGAAAAAGAAGTTGCTGGTGTAATTTATTTGTGGATATTAGTTGAAAGAAAAATAAGCTTTAAAAGATTAGTGGCAAAGACAAAATGTCATAATGTAGGACATATGGTATAGTTTTATTTAAATCTGAACAAGAAATAAAGAAAAATTAAAGAAAAAAAACATTAAAAATTGGTGATAACTATAAAAGATTGTGTAATTTCATTCAAATGAGTAAAAAAGTAAATGAAAGGCGTAGGCTACAAAAAGTAAGCATTTAAAAGAATATTTCAAGACAAAGCATTTCTCATTTTCCACAAATGCTAGTTAGCTGACTCAGACAATGAAGCTTTCAGATTAGGAACAACTACCATTGAATATTAAAATGATGCTACATTCTCTACCCACACATAAAATATGTGTATAGACCTCTAGACAAATCCAAAGATATGGTGGATTCAAAGGGTTACAATCTGGGTTTATTATTTTTAGTCTAACATCAAAATTAATGAGTACTTCTTTTCACCAGAATATCTCATCATGTGAAAAAAAAATGACAATTGAATTCTTGCCTTTTTTTCTGAAAATGAAACCCAAACAAACCTTGGATCCACCACTGTGAATCTATGTTATGATACAAATGACTTCCAGGACCAGATTTCTACATCCAGTAAAGGGACATAACTGAGGAAGCACTGACCTGGGTATTCTTTCCCTTGATGTCATTGTCAGTACTGTCAGTATTGGTCAAGCATCGATTCTTCTGGTTTGACTGGGTAATCTTGGATCCTTTGACTAATAATTCTGTCTCCTGATCTTCTAAAATAAAGCACATTTTGCAGTCTGTATCTTAGGCTTTTCCTTTCAATAATAAGTACAGTCAAATCTCATTAAGAAAAAATAAAAGATAATTTAAGAGGTTTAAATATGTTGGGGGAAAATGGTTGAGATTTTAATCTTATTTTTACTTTACCATGGTATTTGAGATATTGAAGTTCAAGATAATGAAGTCTAGCTGATATTTAAAAATTACACTTTTAAAACCAATTTGATATTAACAAATCAATTGTACAGGTGATTGTGGAGATTATCTATGTGAAATAGCTTACAGTTCAATCAAAATTGTTAGAGAATGCTCAACAAAACTGATAAATGTGTCCAAGATCAGTCTCATATGAGAGATTATGGAATCAAAGAAGTTCAAACATTTGGGGCTCATTTCTGAAGTTTTATGAATATTTTTTTTATGAACAGGTTTAAAATTTTGTATTTATCATTTTGTTTTGAATTGAAACTGTTCCAAGATATCCTCTTAAAACAAATTCATGTTTATTTATGAGATTTTGATCAAGAGAAAAGTTGATTGGTGGAAAAACGTCATCTTAAAAATGTTGCTAATCAGGGGGTTAAAAAAACACACACATAAACCAAGCTGTACATAGCAAGCAAAATACAATCAACTTGGATTTTCTAATCACTTCATCTAATCTCATGCTTTGAGAAGCAATGGGATAATAATAAAAAGGCTCAAGCAGTGGATGTGTGAGGATATTTACCCTTGTTCATTGGATGTATTTTGGCTCTACTGACTGTTGACCCTTTGTCCAATCCATCATCTGCTTTAGTTTGGTCATTCCCAGCACCAGCAGATAAAGGGTCCACAGAATTACTCCTGAAAATACACCAACTTTTGTCAGTTCCTTGGCATGTTCAAATATGTGGAGATAACATACAGTATTCAAGCTCAAAAGTACATGAAACAATACAAATTTTGGAGCAGAGCAAACATGGACCTATAAAACATCAGAGGTGGGATCAGCTGCTATGAAGGAGTGAGCATGCCAAATGTAATATACATTAAATCTTGTTAATCTGATTTCAACTGGTTCCAAAGAAATTGGCCAGATTCGACAAAATTTTAAACAAATGAATTTGCTGAAAAGTATTTAAAGTTTACACCTTATTAAGATTTTTGATTTTACACCATCCATATTAGACAAGTTTTACTGCATTACAGATTTTTTTTCAAGCAAACCACTTTATTCTTCCTATTTTGGGATGTTACGGACAAATCAGATGACTCTGACTAACAAGTGATACTTACTGACATTCTTGGACCTCTGATTCCTCGTTTGCATATTTTGGACTTCCTTGCAAATTTGAAAGGGAGGATTTTTGCTTGGTTTTATTAGACTTTAATTTTGCATTTTTCTTTTTCAGGTTGAGTTTGTAGCCAAAACATGGCAAGGTAGGCGTCTGCACACAGCTGGAAGGAGTTGTGGCTGTAGATTTTAATTCAGTGTTGGAAAGTAAGAAATCAAAGTCGTCACTATGGAAGCTCTCTATGCGAGCAAGAGGGGTTTTGAACATGTTTCTAGTTGGGGTATTGGGCATAGCAAACTTATACAAGTGTTTTGAATAGCTTTCTGATGGAGTTAAGGGACTAAGCTTGTCCTCTGGAAGATTTGGTTGAATAGAAGACTCTGGTACATTCACATCACTACTGGCATTATTGGCAATATCTTTGGCATGAACACTTTGTACACTGGGGAAATTTTTCACCACTGGCAATTTCAATTCAAGCTTTTGAGGTGTGCATAATTTGCTAGGATTTAGGTCCTTCATGGTAGTTTTTGTCACAATTTGATCTTTTGAATTAATCCTCCTCCCTTTCAGTGGATGATGGATTTCCTTCACCACAGAACTCGGATTCACTACATCCAACAAATTGGTTTTACTATCCGACTGATCCTCTGAACACTCCACATCTGAAAGACATACAATTCCTACATCCTGAGGCATGCTGGGAGAATTTCCATCCACTTTGTCAAATCCCCCACAAGCTTCATCGTGACTATCACTTTCTGACAATACCTGAATGTCACTCTTTTGCATAGAAGAATAATTTTCATCACAAGAACCAGAAGAGGAATAATTGCACTCTTTTTCACTCTTTGCAAGATGATCTACTGCAGTTTGAATCTGCCCATTCTTAGATGGAGAGATCAACTTGTTTTTAGGTCTCACAATGGCTTTGATGTCTGCAGAAGCAATTTTTGCTTCCACTGAGTCTTGATGCACAGCCTCTAACAACGGATGTTTTGATTGCCTGGAATGGACTTCAGCAGTGGATGTAGTGGTTTTGCTAATTGTCACAGGAACTATTTCTTCTGAGTGAAGGTAACTTGCAGAATTTGGACAGGAAGCATCTGAGTAATTCTGATCACTCTCGTCATGCCAGGAATCGTCCATCACATCAATACATGATCTGTGCTGTTTCTGGCCGGGCACTAATAGTGTCACAGATTCACCGTGGAGTTCAATGGTGTCAGACCTTGGAGTTTGATTTGCACTAATTGGAGGGTCGATCTTGATTTCGGGGTTAACAAGCATTACCGGACTGTTGGGTTGGGAGGAACTGGTATGTTCCTTCATGCTTCCAGCCCTCCTGTGGCCCGGGCCATAGGAACTGGACCGAGGACCCTGCCTCCTCTTTGAGGACCTCCGCCGGAGTGAGCGTCGGTTGTAGGGCTGGACCTGACCCGGTGACAACAGATTGGGGTTGTCTTGTCCAGGAATTCCCTGAGTGTGAGCCAAGTTTTCTGTGGAGTGTGGAACAGATTCAGCCTGAAACAACAAAACAATACTGAAAACTCCAGAAATACTCTCCTTTTTAACTTATAATCAAGTGCTCTTAATTCAAAGGAAATTAATAATACAAAACCAGAACTATTTGTAAAAGTTGTTCAAGTATTATTTGCCAAAGAATTGCAACTGATCTGCTGAAATGCAAGAGTAATAATTCAAGTTTAATGCAGAAGATTAGATTTAACAATCCTAAGTTGAGAGAAAATAATGACAATATTAAAACAATTTTATGCGACTTATGCAGGTAAACTTGATCTGACATTTTAAAGTTAAGATTTTATAACAAATTTGTAGCTTAGAAGTTTAATCAGTAATATATTCCTAAGAGTATAGCTTATTAAATTCAAAGACCTCAAATCTCCGACAAAGAATTTAAAGGTGGGGGATTGTGGTCATAGGATAATACAATAATCCTCTCTCTCATGGTCTATTTATCTGTACATAGAAATATAATATCTAAAGATTATTTCATATCCTGCAACTTTATACTCAGTTCTTGAATTTCCTGTATTGCCTAAACTTAGCAGATAACTCACTTGTCATAAATATATGAAAAAATTCATGAAAGTAAAACTGTTCTCTTTATAAAAAAGCAATATTTAAAAGGATGTCAGAATATTTTTTTTCCTTGGGAAATTAAATCCAAAAATACTCAAGTATGATAAAATTCGGAAAGGTAATGGGTGGACCGTGGGGGGAGTTCCAAATTGAATAAAAAGGAAATGTTCAGAACATATAATGTAACATGGGGTGATTCAACTATACCCCAACAAATATAAGGGGGAGAGGGGGGGGGGGGGCTTGCCTTTAAAAAAGTAAACGTAAAGGATTAAAACTTGAAAAAAGTGGGGAACAAGCACTCCCTGTCCCCTCCCAACATTCTATTGGTCTGCTATCTGTGCATGCTTATTTTAACCTTAAAGTTTCTAACATACAACTCTGACTTTTATAGGTGTATCTTTAAATTACAGGATTTTCCATTCATAAAATCACAAATTTTTTGTTTTATAAATAACCATTTTATATCATTTATATGGAAAAAACTTAATGTAACCAACTGTAAAATATTCTCCAATTTTCAACATGAAAGGAATGCCATACATTTCAAGGTATAAATTCAATAATTCATAGCTAGTTCTTTACTTTTATTCAAAAAGAATTGTGCTTAAGTTTAGGAAAAACATACTCCTGGGAAATAAACTCCAATATTATGTAGTGATTTGTGTTTGGTAAAGGAATTGAAAAATAATGATGCTGTCATACCTTCCTTGTTACAATTCAAATTGTGTCATCATGTTTTGAATCTTTCAGACAAACCTGTACTAAATGGATTCGATCAATAACCAGAAGTCTCTGCCGAGACTGTAGCTCTACTGGTTTGTACTTAGCATTTTAAAGGAATTTCACAGAAAATTCTATTTTTAGTAACCATGGCAACACCGTTCATTGAAATCAAAAACCAATGCACTATTCCATGTATCTTTTTTAAATTGTGTAGTTATTAAAATCAGACCAAAACTGTAGAAAAGTTTCAAAGGAATTTCACAGAAAATTCTATTTTTAGTAACCATGGTAACACTGTTCATTGAAATCAAAAACCGATGCACTATTCTATGTATCTTAGTGTAGTCTACTTGTGTGCCAAGTTATATTGAAATCACCAAAACTGTAGAAATAGCGTTTCAAAGGAATTTCACAGAAAATTCTATTTTTAGTAACAATGGCAACACCGTTCATCAAAATTAAAAACCGATGCACTATTCTATGTATCTTAGTGTAGTCTACTTGTGTGCAAAGTTATATTAAAATCAGACCAAAACTGTAGAAGGAGTAGCATTTTAAAGGAATTTCATAGAAAATTCTATTTTTAGTAACAATGTCAACACCGTTCATCGAAATTAAAAACCGATGCACTATTCTATGTATCTTAGTGTAGTCTACTTGTGTGCCAAGTTATATTAAAATCAGACCAAAACTGTAGAAGGAGTAGCATTTTGAAGGAATTTCAAAGAAAATTCTATTTTTAGTAACCATGGCAACACCGTTCATCTTAAGTCAAAAACCGATGCACTATTTATGTATCTTAGTGTAGTCTACTTGTGTGCCAAGTTATATTGAAATCAGACCAAATCTGTAGAAGGAGTAGCATTTCAAAGGAATTTCATAGAAAATTCTATTTTTAGTAACAATGACAACACCGTTCATCGAAATTAAAAACCAATGCACTATTTGTGTATCTTAGTGTAGTCTACTTGTGTGCCAAGTTATATTAAAATCAGACCAAAACTGTAGGATTTTGAATGTATTTAAAAAAAATTCTATTTTTAGTAACCGTACAACATATTGAAATTAAAAACCGATGCACTATTCTACTTCAATGTATAACTTGTGTGCCAAGTTATATTGAAATCAGACCAAAACTTTCCTTAAAAGTTGCTTTCAAAATAAGTCCCTTGTCACAAACTACAGTCACTATCGCATAAGATCTGGTCTCTCCCTAAAAATAACCTTAAGCTCCCAAGACACTGATGTACATATACCTTCCTTGTTACAATTCAAATTGTGTCATCATGTTTTGAATCTTTCAGACAAACCTGTACTAAATGGATTCGATCAATAAAAATAACCTTAAGCTCCTAAGACACTGATGTACATATATTGCTACATGACACCAAGTGCCATTATTTTTTTAAATTTTATTTTCACAGAAAGTTGCAAAGTGTACCAAATTTTGTGAATTCAATGTCAATAATAATTTTGGCTATTTACTATTTGGCGTTTTGATAAGGTAGTACTTCCATTAACATGCCTACCTCAGATGTAGCAGATGGAAGTGGTGAATGTAAATATTCAGTATTCTTTTTAGCCATGTGTTTCAAACGCATGCTGACTTTGTGATCATGAGGCTAATAACTTTGTGTCCGAAAAAATCAAATACAACATATCAACTTACCATGTACATCTACTTCAATGATAACGATGAGCCTTCATAACTTTCCTTAAAAGTTGCTTTCAAAATAAGTCCCTTGTCACAAACTACAGTCAGTATGTAAGATCCTCTCCCATTCCTGAGAGCCAGCTACATACAGACTCTAAACTGAGGCTCAAGATCAGAAGACTCATGCTTCAGGTATGTCATTACTGAGACAATATTATAGATCAATGTAAAATATAAATTAGCAGTACAAAATTAAACCACACTGACAGGTCCTACACATAATTCTATATACAAATAGGAAAAAAACATACTCAACAAATCTGCATAAGATTGTTGCTGAGAAAAATACTCCTGGTGATATTTCCCAATCATTTTGTAACAAATCCTTCCTCATAAGAGAAAGAAAACTTCTCCACTGAATGGGTTCAGTGGAGTCTAGGGAGATTTGAAATACACAGCATTGATTATGACTTAACTAAAACAAGATTATGTGTAAATCTTCTTATTGAGTCAACTGCACCCAGGTTAAAATACCAACATAATTAATAAACATTTTAAATATAACATTCAATTAGCTTTAAGAACTTTAGGATATCTAAGGCAATATTCCCTTGTATTTTGGGGGATTTTATAGAGATTTCCATTTTTGTTGAGAAAGTATAATTTATTCTGCAAAATTTTTCAAAAGATGTGTTTTTAAACAAACTTAATCTAAGCCGTAAAAGAAAAAAACATTGTCTCAAGCACCTTAAGGAGTCTACACCTTTGATCCATGGAGAGGGCTTAACCAATGGTTTGCAACAATAAAAAATATAGTCAAACAACGAAAGGAACAGTTGATTACCAATTTCTGATCACACTTTTATATAAAAACAAGAGGCCCATGGGCCACATCACTCACCTGAGCACCGTGGCTAGAAAAAAGCAAAAATCAATCCAGTTTTGAAAAAGCTTAAATGCATAAGTGGTCCCAACCTACCCTAAAAAGGGGGAAAGGGATATGATTTCAATAATTTGAATCTACACTAAAAATGCTTACATATTTCTTTGACTTACTCTTGCTTTTTTCCCCATAAATTTGAACTTTCATTCTGGCCCCACCCTACACCACGGGGTCTTAATTTAAACAAATTTGAATCTACACTACCTGAGGATGCTTCCACATAAATATGCCCACTCATGGCTTTGTTGTTCAAAAAAAGAATATTTTTTAAGGATTTTTTTTCTGTATGTTCCTATGTAAAACTTGAATTGTCCATTGTGTGCCGATCCTACCCCAAAGGGTTATGATTTGTACAAACTTGAACCTGCACTACCTGAGGATGCTTCCACATTAGTTTCATCTTTCCTGACCCAGTGGTTCTTGAGAAGATTTTTAAAACATGCCACCAAATTTTCACTATATCTTAATTATCTCCCCTTGAAAGAGGGTGTGGCCCTTCACTTGAACAGACTTAAATCCCCTTCACCCAAGGATGCTTTGTGGGATGTTTGGTTGAAATTGGTGCAGTGGTTCTTGAGAAGAAGTCGAAAATGTGAAAAGTTCACAGACAGACAGATGGACACTGGACAAAATGTATGATCAGAAAAGCTCACTTGAGCTTCAGCTCAGGTGAGCTGATAAAATGCTTGGTACAAGATAGTTAAAGTGCTTGAATTTTTAATTTATCTTAAAAGTGGTTATTCAGGGAAAAGTGAGAGATTGTCAGTGGGCAAAGATATTAAAATCTCTCAGGCAAAGGAATTCAGAGTTACAGTAAATGGAAAAGGAAAAAAAGAGATACTTCACTGTAAACACACAAATTCAAACAATGCAAATTGTCAGAGAAAAGAGTAGACAAGAGCAATGGATACACAGTTGAACAGATTTAAAGAAAGACAGTACCAAGATGAAAAAGAGTTTTCCCAGCATACTTTCAAGATTCTGGTGCAGTGAACTGGGAAGTTTTACATGTAAGTAGAGAAGGAGCTTAGAACAGTCAATCAATACACACAAAGGGCTCAGAGCAATCAATATATACACTCTGTTACCTCCTAGCAGTGGTAAACTATGGAAGCAGTCCTTTTTGGGAGTTCCCCTTCGAGCTATAAATAACAGTTTCAACATTCTCACTACTTCTGAGCATGACAGTACTGTTTAATGCTTATCAATTTCAATATACTCTGTACTTAAAGCAATGATGTCATTATTACTTAAAAATTAATGTATGGAAAATGACAAAAGGAAATGCAGTATTTCATATCACACTTAATATAAGTTGATGTATTACTTTCTATACATTTATTACTCTCTATAAGTGGTAATGATTTCATGTATTACTCTATATACGTGGTAATGGTTTCATGTATTACATTCTATATGTGGTAATGTATAATTTTAAATATTTCTAAGCTCTATATATGCATTAAAATATCGGTTTTTCGTAAAATGTATTGCACTCTCTATAGGGTTTGTGGTAATGATTTGGCAGTGTTTATACTCTTCTATATGTGGTAATGAATTTATGTATTGGCTCTCTATATATGGTAATTTGTTTTCATGTAATACTATTATATATGTATATGTGAGAATGATTTCATGTATTACATTCTATATGAAAGGTAAGAATGCACGTGCGATTGTATTACTTTCTATTATGTGTTTAATGATTTTATGTATTGCACCAAACTCTCTATATATGGTAATGATTTCATGTAGTTACATTCTATCCTATGTGATTATGACTTTATCAAGTTAATACTGTACATGTAACTCAACTTATCACTTGGACGTCAAACGCATTGATAGAGTTACGTACAATCGAACAGAATTTTTTTAAACAAAACCACTGTGAGCCATTTATGATTTTTATATCTCTTTTTCTGATAAATAAATTGGACTTCAAAAAATGTTAGATTAAATTTCGTCGGGCAAAATTAATCGTCGTGAACTGTTTTATTTCAATGTTTTACAGTTATCAATTAAATTGTTCATATTTATAGACTTTTAAGTCGCCGCGAATAAAAGTTGGTTTAAAAATTGTATTACTCTATATACGTGGTAATGATTTCATGTGTTACTCTCTATATGTGGTAATGATTTCATGTATTACTCTCTATATGTCGTAATGATTTCATGTATTACATTCTATATGTGGTAAGAATTCATGTATTACATTCTATATGTGGTAATGATTTTATGTATTACTCTCTATATGTGGTAATGATTTCATGTATTACTCTCTATATGTGGTAGGAATTCATGTATTACATTCTATATGTGGTAATGATTTTATGTAATACTCTCTATATGTGGTAATGGTTTCATGTGTTACATTCTATATGTGGTAATGATTTCATGTATTGCTTTCTATATGTGGTAATGGTTTCATGTTTTACATTCTATATGTGGTAATGATTTCATGCATTACTCTCTATATGTGGTAATGATTTCATGTATTACATTCTATATGTGATTATGATTTCATATATTACATTCTATATGTGGTAATTGTTTCATGTATTACATTCTATATGTGGTAATGATTTTATGTATTACTCTCTATATGTGGTAATGATTTCATGTATTACTCTCTATATGTGGTAATGATTTTATGTATTACTCTCTATATGTGGTAATGATTTCATGTATTACTCTCTATATGTGGTAATGATTTCATGTAATACATTCTACATGTATATGTGGTAATGATTTCATGTGTTACTTTCTATATATGGTAATAATTTCATGTAATTATTTCTATATGTGGTAATAATTTCATGTATATGTGGTAATGATTTTATGTATTACTCTCTATATGTGGCAATGATTTTATGTATTACTCTCTATATGTGGTAATGATTTCATGTATTACATTCTATATGTGGTAATGATTTCATGTATTACTCTCTATATGTGGTAATGATTTTATGTATTATTCTCTATATATGGTAATGATTTCATGTAATACATTCTACATGTATATGTGGTAATGATTTCATGTATTACATTCTATATGTGGTAATGATTTCATGTATTACTCTCTATATGTGGTAATGATTTCATGTATTACTCTCTATATGTGGTAATGATTTCATGTATTACATTCTATATGTGGTAATGATTTCATGTATTACTCTCTATATGTGGTAATGATTTCATGTATTACTCTCTATATGTGGTAATGATTTCATGTATTACTCTCTATATGTGGTAATGATGTCATGTATTACTTTTTATATGTGGTAATGATTTCATGTAATACATTCTACATGTATATGTGGTAATGATTTCATGTATTACTCTCTATATGTGGTAATGATTTCATGTATTACTCTCTATATGTGGTAATGATTTCATGTAATATCTTCTATATGTAATAATAATTTCATGTATTTATGTGGTAATGATTTCCTGTATTAATTACTCTCTATATGTGGTTATAATTTCATGTATAACCTTCTATATGTAGTAATGATTTCATGTTCTATATGTAGTAATGATTTCATGTACATGCATTACTCTCTATATTCGGTAATGATATTATGCATTCCTATCGATATGTAGTAATGATTTTATGCATTACTTTCTTATTTCTGGTAATGATATTATGCATTCCTTTCTATATGTGGTAATGATGTCATGTATTACTTTTTATATGTTGTAATGATTTCATGTAATACATTTATCCATTTAGAACAATTTTTTATTTAATATATTATACTTTATAAAATTTCCTCTCTGATTTCTGCATTCCTTTCTATATGCGGTAATGATTTTGTGTATTTATATAATTTTTTATATGTGGTAATGATTTCGAGTATTACATGTACCCCTTCTAAATGTGGTGATGATTTCATGCACTACCTTCTTAATATTTCTGGTAATGATTTCATGTATTACCTTCTATATGTGGTAAGCTATGGGTGTGGTTGGCAGTTTGGCATTCATCCTGGACTATATAAAAAGCATTTCCCATAAGCACAAATTCCACATTAGAGAAACTTTTACCAAACTAAATTTTGAAAACTTTGAATTTCGTACATGTATTGATATAGTACAATTAACTTTCAAATTTTAATTAAACCTTAAAACCGTTTAATATATTATTTTAGATGAACGGTTGACAAAACATTTGGTTGGTGTAACTACAGTACAAGGCACTACTCAATATCATATGTGACAAACAAAGGGGAAATAACTTGTGTAGGATTAGGTAAAACTAGGTTCAAGATAAAATCTAATACTCTGTACACACACTAAAGATTCATGAAAAGAAATTCCCTGTTCAATTAAAAGTCCTACAGTCTTTCCTTCAGCAATCAACTAATTTGCAAAATAATGAATTAATCTAATAAAGAATGAATGCTTTCTGAAAAGAAATGATTTTTATGAAAAAAGAAATATCAGTTTTGAGACAGAAGAAGGAAAGAAAAAGGAAATTAAAACAAAAAATTAGTATCTTATACCTGGACAAAGAATTTGGAAAAAATATTGTATTGTTCAAAGTTATCTCTCTTAATATATAGAGTTATTCCCCATTTAAGAACTTAAAGATATACCATCAATTAAATTGTTAGATAAAACATATATATTCTCTTACTAGTGACAGCTAGAAAAGCTTTATGTTTTTCTTTATATTTTTTTGTATCCCAAGTTTTGATTTTGATTGATACTACATCTGATGCCATTTTAACAGAGGTTTTAATTAACATATTGGTGGACACTGCATTTACGGTATTTTACTTTATGATCTCAAAACAACTTATATTGTACCAAAGCTCTGGAAAAAAAATTACTAAACACACTTAATCAAAAACTGAGGAAATTCAACATGCAAGGGCAAAACATATTTGATTCTGCACGGTCTCTGTGGTCATCTGGGTATAATTTCACAACAAAACAATCATAGGTCTGGACATGCCTTGGTTTTCATTCTCCAGAGTTAAGGACTGTGACAAGAAGTGTACACTCTATTGTACAGGCATGCCAACTGTCACACATGACTGAACCCGTGTACACTAACGATCACCACGGCGTGCACCAGGAGGGAGGGGGGGGGCACTAATAGCTAGTTTACCTTTCACCTCCTCCAAATCAACCTCTGGGGTAGTCACACTTTGTGACAAAATTTGTTGACTTTGTGCAACTTTCTTTTTATGCTTGGTACCTTTAGATTCTCTTTTTTCTCTTCTTTTTTCATGAAAGCTTGTGTAGTCTAGGTCAAATACTCCTGCAAAAATCAAAAGTTAATTTCAAATCCATGTTTTTTTTAAGTTTTGTAACAAGGAAATTGCAAACATGAATGTATTTTTTTTGTGGAAATGTGACTGACTGAATTAAAAAGACCCAATTTAACTGGCTTGCCTAATTGAAAAGACACAGTTTTAACTGGCTTACACCTGAATGAAATACAACCAATGTAACTGGCTTACACCTGAATGAAATAGACCCAATGTTACTGGCTTTCACCTTAATGAAATAGAGTCATTGTAACTGGCTTACACCTTTATGAAATACACCCAATGAAACTGGCTTAAACCCTAATGAAATAAACCTAATGTAACTGGCTTACACCTTAATGAAATACAACCAATGTAACTGACTTACACCTAAATGAAATAGACCCAATGTAACTGACTTACACTTGAATGAAATAGACCCAATGTAACTGGCTTACACCTTTATGAAATAGACCCAATGTAACTGACTTACACTTGAATGAAATAGACCCAATGTAACTGACTTACACTTGAATGAAATAGACCCTATGTTACTGGCTTTCACCTTAATGAAATAGACCCAATGTAACTGGCTAACACCTTTATGAAATAAACCCAATGTAACTAGCTTACACCTTAATGAAATAGACCCAATGTTACTGGCTTTCACCTAAATGAAATAGAGTCATTGTAACTGGCTTACACCTTTATGAAATACACCCAATGTAACTGGCTTACACCCTAATGAAATAAACCCAATATAACTGGCTAACACCTTAATGAAATAAACCCAATGTAACTGACTTACAGTCCTTAATGAAATAGGCCAAATTTAACTGACTTACACCTGAATGAAAGAGAGTCAATGTAACTGGTTTACATCCTAATGAAATAGACCCAATGTAAATGGTCTACACCTTAATGAAATAGAGCCAATGTAACTGGCTTACACCCTAATGAAATAGACCCAATGTAACTGGCTAACACCTTAATGAAATAGACCCAATGTAACTGACTTACACCCTAATGAAAGAGAGTCAATGTAACTGGCTTACACCCTAATGAAATAGACCCAATGTAACTGACTTACAACCTTATGAAACAGAGCCAATGTAACTGACTTACACCTGAGTGAAATAGAGCCAATGTAACTGACTTCCACCTGAATGAAATAGACCCAATGTAACTGATTTACACCTGAATGAAATAGACCGAATGTGACTGACTTACACCCTAATGAAATAGACCCAATGTAACTGACTTACATTCTAATGAAATATAACTAATTTACCTTTATCTTTCCTTTTATTGTCCATCATCATGTTAAACATGGCTGACAGTTCATCACATTTACTTTCATGAACAGTTTTCTCCACTTGCTCCTTATTCATTTCCATCATTTCTGATAACTCATCAATTACCTGCAACAAAATCAAACTCCATTCATAGACAGTATCAGTAGCTATTGTACACTACACAACAATAATGTAGGGGGTTATCATTGTTAGTATAAAGCATCTATCAAAAGTATTGTGCAAGTTGAATAACTAACACTGCATTGTTATTGTTTGCTGATACATTTTTTCAAGGAGGCATTCATGAACATACTAATTGTCTAGTGCTAACATTCAGCTACCTTCACTCTTCAATATGGTTAGTACACTATTAGAAAGTCACATTTAGAAAGGAATATAGTTTTAGGAATATAAAATCATAGGAGAGAGCTATATACACGTAGACGTACAAAAGAGGAAAGTTAATTAGGGACTGGCATTCAAAAATCATGTTACATAGCACTACTATTTAATAAAAGTCGTGAAAATGGGGGAAAATGTTTACAATACCATGGATGGATTTAAATTCAATTATCATTACATGTCTCAGCACCTGTAGGCCTCACATCCCTCACAGATATACTGTAGCTTAACCCATACCTGAACTTTTTCCGAAAAGAATTCCTTAAAATTCTTTTATTAAATAATGTACACTTTAAATTTAATATAAACTTTATCATAAACTATTCAGATCAATTTGTCTATTTCTTTACAGAAATTATCTGTTACATTCCTTCATTCATCATCCAATCATTTATTTCAATGTCTATAAATTTCCCTCATAAATATCTTGTGCTACAAGCAAATCTGTATTATGACTTGTCAGTGAACTTATATGTAAATTCAAGAGAAAACCTTAAAGCTAAATATATTAAAAATAGTGATTGTGGTTTGTGAAGAAAAAAAATTGTCAAGGTTATCAAACTTGCAATATTTTAGAAAAATAAATAAGAGTTCTAAATAATTACTAAAAGAATATTAAAATATTTGAATTAGTGTCTCTTATAATAATAAAGGTGCTTATAAAGCAATTCTGTGAAATATCTTTTAATTAAAATAATTCTTCTTGAAAATTCAAATGTATAATACTTCAAAAATTGAAAAAGATCACATCAGAAAGTTTGCAAAATTATGTAGTCTGACACTCATAACACACAGATGAAAAATTCAGTTTTTTTTAAAAGTATAGCTGTAAAAGTACAGTCACTGAGCTTTGGAAATGCTTGGCTGTTATTTTAATACCCCTCCCTTTTGAATTAATTTTCTGGTGTGATCTTTCATGTTTTACAAAATAACATACAATTATAGTTTCATGCTTTCAAGCTTGAAAATATCCATGTTACAGTTAATCTAAATATAAGGAAGACAAACAATCAAAAGCAAAATAGCTACTTTACATATAAAAGTAAGGGCAGCCAAGCATTTTCAGAGCCCATGCAAAGACTTAATAGCCAATGTTATAGTGAGTCAAGCCATTTCCAGAGTCAGCAGAGGAAAATCTTGAAATATTTTGTAAAATATTTTGAAAACAGAAGAAAACCTGAAATAAAACTTCTCACTTCTTTTTTTTTTAGCTATATGTGCTGCTTATCAAGAGTAAGACTGAAATACAGTGCCATTCATAAAATATCAAATAAAGAAGGTTTGTTAAAATCATGTGCTTAACTTGATAATGAGAGACTTGAAAGATCTTCATGAAAGTATAAGTTGACACAAAATACAGGAATATGGTTGCACTATTTTTACCTCATTTTCTAACTCTTCTAAAATGGCTTCCTGATTGTCCAAGAAAAGAATGGGGTATGTGAAGATTCAAGATTGACATAACATATCTCAAACCCATTGGATTACATATATATCTCATAATAAATTTTACAAACGGTATACATGGTAAATCTATCCATACAACTTCACAATAGGTAATGTGCAAAATATACATAATCGAATCTTTCAAAAGACACCCTCTTTGCATTTAGGTAATAGCTAGTTGAATTGAATCACTTTATCACTAAACAAATTTATTGTATACATGTATGTACTTGAATAAAATAATCCTAAATTCAGTGTATAACATCACAATTAATGGTACATGATGTCTGGTATTATGATACGACCATTTCATTTTTGAAAAGTGAAACTTTTAATTTCTGATGAAGAATGTTTTTCCAGTCTCAGCGTCTCAGGTCCGTCTGACAAAAAACACTTGAATGTACAGTCAAACGTCAAGATCTCAAACTAGATGGGGTATCAAGCTCCTGGGGTTAAAAATCATGAAGAGCAAGATGTGTGTGTGAAACACTGATGCCCCCTTGGTATCATGGCAGTATGAGATGTCATATGAGGCTCGCATATGACATCTCATACTGCCACAATGAAAGATTTTCAAAGTATGTCAAACTCCAAGGTCAATCTCCAAGGTCAAGGTCATAAACTGTTGGTACCCAAAGATAGGTATCATCATAAAGAATATATACATTGTATATGCATATGAAAGCCCTCACCTCAAATGTTAAGAAGTTACATTAAGCCATGGTTAATTTTTTTTTAAATAGTAAGGTTAAACTCCAAATTCAAATCATCATGAGAAAGATGCACCATTATGCACAAATATGGGACGTTTTGATTAAAATTCAACATTTTTATAATTTATTCAAAAACAATACTTGAAAATCACAGAATGAAATTTGTCATTACCTGGGACTTGAGCAGTTTGTCCCTGGGAAAGGCATGAAATGGGTAGAAAGGCATTTTGGCATCACAAGTCACCCAGGGGTGAATCTCTACATCCATCAGAGGCAGACGATGACTGGGGTTAGGCTCCAACAGCTTACACAGTAACTGCTTTAGTTCTGTATCAAAAAATTGAAGAATTAAACTGGCAGCTTATTTTGTTACATCTGTTAACATTTTTATTCAGACTATTACTGTACTTATTCCTTATACTGAGATTTTAAGTAAAGTTTGAGGCTTCTAAACAGAAATAAATTTCTTAGCATTTGATTTGATATAGAACTTGATATTTCTCATTTTAGGACCAACTGTGACAATCAAAGTTTTTGGAGTATATATACTCTTCTGTCCATTTATAAACATGACTGATCTCGACATCTCAGAGCTATCTCTCTCTCACCTTCACTGAGATTACACATCTCCTTGAGTTGAACCTCCGTGACCCCTTTTTCCACCTGTTGGAGAAGTTTTTGTCTCCTGTACTGATCGGTGTATGGTGTTGTGAATGGAAGTTTCCCTATCACCATTGCATAAGTTATGACACCTCTGTACAAGATAACAATTTCTAGTGACCAAAATGCAGAATCAAAACTTAGTACATGTATATAGAATTTTATCATCAAATTTTATAGTGATGGTTATACTATCGGTTATTAATAATTTTGAACTTAACTTTGTTTATGTTTTAATAAAATTTAACTATTGAGTAATACATCCATGAATAAAGGCAAAACATTTTTCTTTTAGTCTTGGATCATTTGAATTCTGCAACAGAACAATTAAGATCTGATTTACATTGCCCAAACATCCACTTCTGGTCCGTACTTGTCGGATGGGTGGAACAGTTCGGGGGCGGCGTACTCTAAAGATCCACACCTCGTCTTCATCAGCTCATCCTTGTTAAATGTATTACTAAGTCCAAAATCTGATGGAATAAACCAAAACAGAAATAAATACAAAATTCATAAAAATCTCTATTTTATTATAAATTATTAAAATTAGTCTTAAATTAAAGTACAGTTTATTCCATTTTAATCAGTGAAATATATTGTAATTAATTTATCAATTGATTCAAATTATTATCATTTTAACAAAAGTGTTATTTTCAAAGAGCAAAACTATTTTTTCCTTCATAAAGAATAAGTCATCTTCACATTGACTTAATTACAACCAATAATCCACAATTCTCCAATTGTCTTTTGAATGAAGACACACACTAGCCTGACCAGACAAATTATAGGCAATAGGAGTAAAGGGAATAAACAAAGAGTATTCTAGTAAGACATTGAATTTACTTCATTTGTGAGAAAGAATTTTTTTCAATTTTTTCGCTAGTGTTCCACTTTTCCACTGATAATTGAATTTGCAGAGGATTGCCTCCCTTAGACCATAATCTGCTGCTTAGCACTTGAAATCCCCCTCGGAATTTAATTATAAAGACAACCAATGACAATGCACAGGTGTGCATATTCTAAAGTTTCTTCAAAATTTAACCTTACCGGTAATCTAAAGTTAGAAAATTTTTAACAAATAAACTTGTGTATACCAACCATTTAATTAAGATACACTGCAATGTATCAGAGTTATCTTCCTTAGACCATATTCTTCATTTCTTCAGGTGCAACACATTATGTAATTTTATTTTTGCTCTAGCTTCATACAAACAAATCTTTAATGCCCTCAGAGTTTATCAAAGAAGAAAAATAATAGAGAACCCTTGTGGTTTGATATTCAATAAACAGATGTTAAATCAAGTTGGATGTTGCAACAAATTAGAGGTCTTCCCATGGCAGCAGTATGCAGACAAGCCTTTCTGGGGGATTATCAATCAATTGGGCCCACAGTGCCATCACAGATGGAGTTCTACTGATAAACAGAACCTTTCATCTGTAGGTCAAAGTAGGGTAGCTCAACACTATCATACTAACAAAACTTTCTGGACCCCCAAATATTAGTGAGAGCTGGCCATCAATACTCAATCACCGTATTTCAGCCATTTCCTCTCTCCAGATATGCTCCTTCATTTAGATTGGAGATTAATTGTCCACAGAGGTTCAAATTAAGGTCACCTACCCCACCCATAACATCTGATGCTAGAACGACTTTTTCCCTTTATAAAACCACTCTTTCCATTCATCATATCCCAGCTAATCTTTTCTGACAGGTATACTTTCATCATCTTTTGCTTTCTTCACGACTTCAATCTATATTCCTGACAAAAAACCCTGCAAGATGTCTGCATAATATTGCAATAAAGTCAAATTATGTATCATCTGCAGATTTTACAGTTGGCAGGAACACTTTATTGATGAAATGATTCCGTTTATTCAGGAATCGGTTCAGCAGCCAGCCCGGTGGGGTCCCAATGTCAATCTGGGCCTATACAAGTCATACCTGATGTAGAGTCAGGGTCTCATACCAGAATTACGGCCTATTGGGGAATTACTCCCATAATAAATAATTCCAACATGTCAGAATCAATTATTGATTTGTATACTGACAGCATGTTTCTATAAACATCCAGTGGAGATATTTTGGTCCTATCAATGTTTATATATCCAGTTTCTTCAGTGATTTGAGACAATGTAATTAGTATCGAGACTGTGTGTGTTTAGGATTATGAGCTGCAGGCAGTTCACGGACCTGACTCTGACAAGTTACCAAGATTCCAATCAGCTACTCCATTGTCAGTTTTATAAATGGAGTAGGAGTCTGTGAATGCAAAAAATGCAATACAACTCAAAAATAACGAAATATTTCACTTCCACTCTACATTATACATGTATCATACTTCCAAACATCATGTGGATATAAATACAAGTGACTGGCCTTGAGAACAAATTTCAGCTGGAAAAATTTTAAGTGCAAAGCACCTGCACCTAATTAGAAGTGAGAGCAAATTCTAGTGTATTTGGTGTCCCCAGAAAATGATGAATTTAGAGACTAAGCCCGGTAAAATATAACTGTCCCCTTAATTTAGTTGCCTACAAGTAATCAAGCAATGCTGTAAGAGAAGTATTCCATTCTGCTAACTGGTCAGAAACTGTCTGTCAACTCTGTTAGGGCAAATGTAAAGAGGTTAATATTCTGTGTCCATTCGAAGAAGTCTACAAAGCATAAAAAAGTGATTCACAACAAATGTTCATGAATTCAAAGCTATACAGGTCCCTCAGAAGAAGCAAAATCTCAAGAGGTTTGTTTATCATGGGGAAGACTGAAAATGTAATTAAACACCTTAACAGCATCAAGGGGGAGAAAAGCAAGAAAACTTAAAAAGCATTTCTAGCTGACTGACTGACCTTAGGGTCAAGCATACACCAAAGGTCACTCAGGTAATCCCTGTGGATAGGTGTCATTGCTATGCTAATGCCTAACCCTCCCTCCCTCCATTCAGATGTCTGATAAATTACAGGGAACCCTCTAGTATTCTATTGGGGCTTACACGATTGGGGGCATTCATTGGTGAGGGAACTGGTAGGACTTGGTCCATAAAATTATCAATTATCCTGCCACAGTCCCCTGTCCATCTGTCAGTGGACATTAAAACAGGACCAGTCAATGACCCTAGTCCCCGGTCCGTTAACATGCTGGGCAAGTCAAAGCAATCAAGTCAAGGTACAATATGATTAAACCCTGTTACTTTGGTGGAGATCATCCATGCTTAATGATATAAAATCTTGAAATGCCTAAAATTTAATAAGGTAATTACTTTATAAAGGTGTATGTTAAATAACATTAACAGAAATTCCCCTAAAAATTAGCATGTTAAAAAATTTTTTTTTGTTTGGATGAATCTTATTAACCTTGACCTTCTAAGAATATGTCACCTTGACCTAATTTGCATAATTTTCTTTATATTGTGTATAATACCTTTAATGGCTTATGAATATAAAAGTTCATAGAAGGAAGCACATTTGGTAAACCCAAGATAAGAGATATCTTTGAGATGTGGACCAGGCTAACTTCCTCAAACCTCAAATTACGTCAATCAAGATAATGTCTGTATCTAGGCAATGCTGCACCAAGCCTTAAAGTCGTCCACACAAGTACTTACCAACTATTTTGATATTCTTTTTCTTCTCATCCAACATGATGTTTTCCATTTTTAAATCCCTACAAAAAGAAAAACAGAAACTTGCTTTCATATATGTTTAATTGTTTATTGCATGTCAAGTCCTTTCTTCCTCTGATCAATGGGGGGTGGATAAGGGGAAAAATCAATGATGTTTTAATGCGGGTAGATATTTTGTCCTGAAAATGAGGAGCCAAGATACGGGTATATAAAACTGTGCTGAGGAGATAAGTTTTTGGTAGATATATAGATAAAGAAACTCCTGTCAGACTTAGAATTCCAAGATTAATGTTGTCTTATCAGCTGATGGATCTCCAGGGAATAAGACAACTTTGCTAATTGAATAGAGTTATCTCCCTTTGAACACATTATAAGCCATTGCCCCGATACTGGTTCATGATTAATATGCTTTCTAACGAATCATTTTTCTTAATTATGCAAGGAAAAATACATAACAAACAAATCACCAGAACATCAGTCAGAATTTGTCTGACTGGTCATTTGCTTGAACTTTATTTGCCACACAGGTATGCTATTGAACTTCAAAGGTTATTGTTACAAAGTTAACAAACAATAATTTATGGTCCCTGACCATTTCGAATCAGGACAGTTTGATGATTTATTTCTTTGAAGAATGGAAGGCTTGAACCCTGTTCAGGATTTTCACCTCAAAACAAACATAAGCCTGTTAACTGAAGCAAATGTTTGATTAAAAACAGATTTTTATGCATTTTTAAATACTTGAAAATGTACAAAAATCTCTTTTTGATTCAATAATTGGAGAGAGGTTTTGGAAGAATTTGTCAGCAGTGACTCTGAGGGTGCATGCACACATAACTCCTATGTTGAGCATATATTTTGACTTATAAATCCTCATAATTTTAAGTTCATAAAAATAAGATTCAGGTTCTTACAGGTGTTTTTTCCCTAGACGTATTTTGTTTCTCAAATTCATGACACATTTTGGCAGATTCATTTTTGATACACAAATCTGCTCTTTGCTTCCTTGAAATTGGCATATTCAAATAAAAAATATTATGTAATTGCCAAAATCTGACTGAAAAAATTAAATAATCATGCAAGTAAAAAAAGGGAGCATACAAATTGATCAATTCGGTTCAAATTAAGACATTTTATAATAGTGCAAGATGCTAGCAGTGTTTGGCATTTAGTAATAAACGATGCCAACATTTAATGAGCAGATATTATTGCAGATAGCATCCTAATAGCTAAACCTATAAATTTATACTGTAGTATACATATAAACCAGTCAAATAAATCTGATTTTTTTATTCCTTGGGAGCCAAACTCAATCCCAGGATTTGGGTTTTCTTATTACAAGGTAGATCCCTCTTTTTCGGTCTTTTATGCACAAGACTTGCATGAGAATGGCCTGTTTTCTGTGGTTACATCACTGTAAACCACATTGGTAAATTCAGCAACTTGGAGCCTTTTAATCTACTTTTCATGAACTAAGGGCTTATGCAACAAGATAAATGCAGTCTTTGGTTCTATTTTGATTGAGTAATCAATACAGGACTTTCTCTCTGTGTCTGAAATATTACATGTAGTGGTCTAATGTCTCTTTACATAGGATTACTTTAACTGAAAAATATCCTACAAAAGTTCATACTTAAAGATAAACAACATTCAAGAACCATTCTGCTTTTAACTTTTTTTTTCATGGTTCTTCATCTCACAGAGAAAAAAAATCTTCTAAGCGGGTTTAGCTGTTTCAATCTGTTCTTTATCAAATTAACTTACACTGTTTTCGAGAGATATTGACATTTAGGAGGAGTCGCATTTACTTTGATTATGGCTGTATGTATGGTACATAAAAATGTAGACCAAAGTGAAAATCTGGCATTATAAGACAGACATATGGAGACAGGCAGTTTATTGCAAAAGCAGGATCTGTTGAGTTTAACCACAGCAATGAGGACATGTACACTTTGTAATGTTGTAGCAACTACATTAATTTCTCTGGATGGGGAAACAGCAAGCTTACCAAAAATGAATAGCAGATTTAGAGAAAAAAACGTTCTTAATTAAATGTTGGGGAGAGAAAAGTGCTCAAGTTCTTTTAATGTAGGAGTTCTAAACTGATTTTAAAAAAATACTGGGGAGTTCTTTAATGAAAGTTTGCTAAACTCTTCTTACTGCAAAGACAAACATGCAGTGATTTCTAGAAAACCAAACAGACAGACAGACAAAATTTTTTGCAGACAATAACTGCTGAATCACCAGCACCCTCAGTAGCCACAGGGGTCATGGGGTCAAATCTACACATACTGACCAACCATAAAGTCAGGGTCGGAGACATCAGCAAATGACAGCTTACATTTTTATCATTTCATTGGTTTGGAAGTTAACAGGGGGTTCAAATTCCCCATTCCACCATTAATCAGTGACAAACATTGGTCAAGTGTCCAGCCCTTAATTCAATCGGAGGGTAATTGACATTTGATATTTACATGGTAAAAGCGATAGGTATGGGGTCCTCAAACTTTGATTACCCCCAATAACCATACAATAAATGTCGCCCTTCTCAGGCCTTAATGAGCTCTGATTACTACCTGTCAAAGGCTCAAGTTTTTAATTTAACTTTCACCTTTCACTTATTTTAAAGCTTTGTGGATGATTCCACCATAAACACCTCTCCTTTATGGCTATATAATGAACAAAATTAAACTAATCAATGAATCCCAAAGTGATAGTACTCAGGAAATATAAAAATCACTGCTCACAGAATCTAATTAATGCCAATACATTTTATATAAAAATTTTATACAAAGAGTGAGTTGTTGATGATTAAGTTTACAATTCAAATTGAGAATGTTTGCACTGCCCCCTGGTGAAAAAGTGTATAATTTTGTGAGACAACAAATAAAAAATGTCTTAAAATTCATGCTCAGATTGTCCTGCCTTCTAAAAACTTCAACAACATTTTTTTGAGCTTCACATGATCACTGACAGGTATCTAACATTACATCAATCAGATTTCTGCTGTCAATCTTACCGATTTATTACCAGTACAATATGCAATAAAGCTTTGAAAGTGTACACTTTTTATTCTTCATTCACGACATTGATTTTTTTTTTTTTAACATTTAAGTTAGCTGGAAAGATAAGACGTCAGCAAGACTTTGTTGTTAGTTCTATTCTTAAATGATAATTAATATTTATCTTTCATATCTAGATACTATTTTAAGGGTTTTAAGTCTCTTTATAGAGCAACATATAATGGTTGACACTTAAAAACATTATGTTTTCGACTTGAAAATATATAAAATTACTTGTGGTTGTCTGCCCAAAATAAAAGAGTAAATGTCAAAAGAAATCACATAATTGCCAACATTTTAAAGTTTTGTTAAAAAAATATATTTTTTCAAAAAAAAAAGAAAAAGAAAATACAACAATGTCAAAACATGTTAGGTACATGCATGTCTGAGACATGTGTGCAGCTTGCTTTTATTTTGAAGTGAATTTAAATCACCAGAAAAAAGATGATGTAGGCATTATTTCTGATCAATGTAATCTAGACACCTTTACAAGATGATAGATAATATATGAGCAATCAGGACTTCTAAACACCCAGGTAATGCAGATCTGCACAAAATAACAAAATACAAAAGTACTTCAAAACATGCCTAAACATATGCATTATACTGAGGGTTAGACAGGAAACACCAAACTTATCACAATTTTCTTTTTGCGGTTTCTTAAAAACAAAGCCATGTAAAAATAACAATGCAATAGACCCCTCCCATAAAAGAATTTTAATCTACAGTTTATGTAATCCCAAAGTGTATCTACTCCAACAATCATCTAATGCCTCCGAATGAGTTTTTATTAGGGACCATTGAGCCCATTATATATCTGGGGGATTAATAACGCAAGATGTTCATCAGTTTTTGAAGGAAAATAAATGGAGAGGAAAAAGCAGCATTCAACTTGTAACAGTCATTATAGTATTTTATCTACCGATTGTGAAGAATATTGCACCTGGCCTTCCACAAAATAATTGCAACAAACGAGTTTGAACGAAAAATTCATTATCTCGTGTCTGTTGTGTCTCAACAGTATACTTCCCAATATGCCATTTTTATCTTCCTCATTTTATTTATTGGGGGAAAAAACTGCTAATGCAGAGTTGTTCCAATCATTTTAGAATATACCTCAAAGTATTAAATTCTATAAACAAAACAGTAGAATGCAGAACACAGTCATTTCTTCCCAGTAGGTAAGAGAGGAACAGATTGGAAAAGCAACATCAAAGCCAACTGAGTTTTTTTTTAAGTTGACTTCTGTTTAAATAATATTAGAAAAAGCAAAAACACAGCTTCTGTTGTTTTTATTTAATTAGTGGAAAGGCCGATAGGAACTGATATCCAAAAGCATCTGATTCAATATCAATCAATATACCCCAGCCTTGATTGGGTCATTAGGCTACTGAAGTCAGAGATAAACACTCTCCCTTATCACCAGAACCTTTCCCTTACAAATTTGATAGATCTGACTCAAGACATTTAACAGGAATTATGATTGAGATTTGGGGGGTGTAAGGCCAGCTCTGCTGGGAATTACATTAAATCAACAGCACATTAGCCCCATTGAGGTAGCAGCTTCATACATGGTTCAACACAAGGACAGAATGTCGTACTCTCCTGACTGGGGGGTTAGACCACCTCTTTACCCTTTCTTATGGAGCAGCATCTTTTCCTGTATTTCATCAGCATATCTTATAGTAATTTGATTATAATTCAATTAAAATTTCTGTCAACCATCAAGTGCCAGCAAGCACCATGAAATGGAGTCTAGCACATGTCAAGTGTTGGGCTTCTGACTGATACCATCGGTGGTTGATTACTTTTACAGATAGTACATCTACATGTGTATTGCTGCCATTCCTCTGTACAATTCTAGGTTATTCTAACCAACACCCAGAAACTGAAGCAATCAGCCTTTGACACAAATTATTAGAACACAGAAGAAGGCCACGACTCCACTGTGCAGTGCAAGAAAATTAGGTTATCAGAAC